ATAACCCGCGCCTCACTGAGGACTTCGTGGCCCACCTGGAGACGGAGCTGGAGCAGTCGCGGCTGCGGGAGACGGAGACGCTGGGGGCCCTGCGGGAGATGCAGGACAAGGTCCTCGACATGGAGAAGGTGCAGCAGGGGGCGGGCGGCTGCTGGGAGAGCTCGGAGAAGAGGAGCCGGGGGACTGGGCGTGCTTCAGGAGGTGCAAGAAGGGGCGGCCAGGACCAGTGGGACGTGTCCTGGAGTCAGAGCCCCCTGCCCGGCAGTCCCCGGCCCCTCCATGGCACCCTGGTCCCCTGCTTCCTCCCCATGGTCTCCACGGGAGGGTCTGGGCAGATGGGAAGTTGGGCCCCTCACCCCCAGACCCTCCCAAGCCCTGGAGGTGCACAGGCACACACACACACGTGCGCGCATGCGTGCACACACACACGAGCACACACGAAGCAGCATGACACCATGAGGGGCACAGCCACCCTCATGTACCAGGCATAGGGCCAGCAGTGCGGTGGCTTCCATGGGCTTCCTGACAGCCCAACACACCTGTGTGTGTCTCCCCCTGGTCCCGGCTTCCAGGATGGAGGGAGGGGAGGCAAGACCCAGCCCATCCGGGCTGCCCCAGCCATGGAGACACCACCCAGGGAGCCGACTGGGGCCACCCTCTCCTGCCTGCAGGCCTCAGCGGGTACCAGGCCTCCTGGGTCCCCCCTCACCTGCTTTCTTGCCGACTCGGTATAGACTCAGCTCCCACAGGGCCACCAGAGGGCAGCAGGACCCACTCCCAGGCTGGCAGGAGCCATTCCCCACCCCCGGGAGCCTGCACTGTTTGGGGTGCCCTCCCAGGTGGGGTGTGTCTGCCACAGCCTTGCTGAGGCCATCGGCCTCTCAGTCCCCATCGGCCAGCCCAGAACAGGGCTTCTCTCCCGCCTCCCTCCATCTCGGAGGGGAATGTGCAGCCAGTCAACCCTCCGCCCTCCCCAACTCCCAGTGCCAAACAGGGGTCATGAGGACCTTGTACAGCAAGCTGGATGGTCACCGAGAGGCTGGAACACAAATCCCGCTCACTGGGCCCTTGGGAGGCCAGGGCAGGGCCTCAGCTGGCCCTCAGCCTGTCCCCAGGGAGAGGGGCTGCCCGGGGTGGGGTGGGGCCAGGGTGCGGCAATCCACGGTCTCTCAGTGCTGCTGAGGGGGGTCCAGGGTCTGGCCGTGTGCTGGAGCGGCACAGATCTCGGACTCCCGGGTGGATGAGCACCTGCCCCCCCCCCCCCCCCAGCGGGCCTGGTGTGATGGGCAGTGACATTTATGGAGGTCCCCCGGTTATGGGGAGAGAGCAAGTGCTGTTATCACATCCATCTGACCGACAAGGATCTCGGTCTGCTCCCCTCCAGCCTGGCCCACGTTCCCAGTTTATTCCGGGGTCCAGGGTGCACCCTCTCCCATGAGGGCCGCCCAAGGTGGGACTCAGAAGAAACGCGGGGCGCGCATCCGGGCCCTGCGGGAAGGGAGGCGCGGCTTCACATGCCCCGGGCTCTGACCGCTTCTCTCCCGCAGAGGAACAGCTCGCTGCCCGACGAGAACAACGTGGCGCGGCTGCAGGAGGAGCTGAAGGCGCTCAAGGTGCGGGAGGGCGAGGCCGTGGCCTCGGCGCGGGAGCTGAAGCTGCAGCTGCAGGAGCTCTCGGACACCTGGCAGGTGCGGGCCCAGCCCCCGGGCACCAGGCGGCCGGGCGAGCGCGAGGTCGGCGGGGCTCCGGCGGAGGCTGACGCCCGCTTGTCCCCCCAGGCCCACCTGTCGCGCGGCGGCCGCTGGAAGGAGTCCCCGCGGAAGCTGGTCCTGGGCGAGCTGCAGGACGAGCTGATGAGCGTGCGTCTGCGCGAGGCCCAGGCTCTGGCCGAGGGCCGCGAGCTGCGGCAGCGCGTGGTGGAGCTCGAGACGCAGGTGGGCTGCGGCCGGCCGGCCGGGCGAGGGGCTGGATGGCCACGGCCCTGGCTCGGCCGTGACCCGTGGCCGTGGGCGCTCCCTCCTTCCACAGGACCACATCCACCGCAACCTGCTGAACCGCGTGGAGGCAGAGCGCGCGGCGCTGCAGGAGAAGCTGCAGTACCTGGCGGCCCAGAACAAGGGGCTGCAGACGCAGCTCAGCGAAAGCCGCCGCAAGCAGGCGGAGGCCGAATGCAAGGTGCGCCCCCTCGTCGGCCGGCCCCCCGCCCCGCCCCGCCGCGCCCCTTGAACCGCCCTCTCTCCCCTACCCCCAGAGCAAGGAGGAGGTGATGGCCGTGCGCCTGCGGGAGGCGGACAGCATGGCGGCGGTGGCCGAGATGCGGCAGCGCATCGCCGAGCTGGAGATCCAGGTGAGCGGCCGGGCCGGGGTCGAGGGCGGGCAGCGGGGTGGGGGGCCCTGCCGTGACGCCGCGCGCCCTGGCCGCCCGCAGAGGGAGGAGGGCCGCATCCAGGGCCAGCTGAACCACTCGGACTCGTCGCAGTACATCCGCGAGCTCAAGGACCAGATCGAGGAGCTGAAGGCCGAGGTGAGCGCGGGAGGGGCCCGGGGCCGGGCCGGGCGTCGGGGCTTCGGGGAGCGGGGGAGAGGGGGTCCGGCGGCCGGACTCGGTCCGTGGGAGGGTCGGTGCCCGCCCCCAGCGCGCCGGTCCCGCCCCAGGTGCGGCTGCTGAAGGGCCCGCCGCCCTTCGAGGACCCGCTGGCCTTCGACGGGCTCGGCCTGGCGCGGCACCTGGATGAGGACTCGCTGCCGTCGTCGGACGAGGAGCTGCTGGGCGTGGGCGTGGGCGCCGCGCTGCAGGACTCGCTCTACCCGCTGTCGCCGCGCGACGCGCGCTTCTTCCGCCGTCTGGAGCGGCCGGCCAAGGACAGCGAGGGCAGCTCAGACAGCGACGCCGACGAGCTGGCCGCGCCCTACAGCCAGGGCCTGGACAACTGAGGCCGCGCCCGCGTGCCCGGAGCCAGGGGGCCGCAGGCCGCGCATCACAAACTCCGCCCGGCCCGAGGGCTAGGCCCAGCGCGCCAGGGCGCAGAGGGCGGGGCCCGAGTCCGAGGATCGTCAGGGTCCCCGGCAGACCCACCCTCCCCATCAGTGTTTACCCAGCTTGGTCGTGGCCCTTCGGGCCCAGTTCCCCGGAGGGCCCGCCCCTCTTAACAGTGAGGGCCAGGGTCGACCAGGGGTCCCAGGACTGGATGGGCAGGAAGTCCCCTCCCCCCAGCAGACCTCTTTCTGGGACAAGGGTGGCCCTGCTGGGAAGGGCCCAGGAGCTAGAGGAGGCCTGAGGAAGAAAGGGCAGCTCTGGGCTGGACAGTCCCACCCCCCAATGCCCCTGGGGACCCTTGGCCGCTGGGGACAGATGGCCAGGCTGTGCTTTCCTGCCTGGTGCAGGCATCGTGGCCCCTGCAGCAGAAACCAAAGCCCCCCTACTGTGCAGGGCCACCTGGGGTGTGTGGCCAGCAGGAACCAGCCCAGGCCTGGGCACTGGCTGGCCCTGCTGCTCGGGGCCCAGAGCGGCTGGGAGGACGGCATGAGACCCCCTCCCCAGCGCCCCCCTCTCCCTCTGTGAGACATCCCATCACCCCGGCATGGCCAGTGATAGAGGGGCTCCCCCTCCATCTGCCCAGGCCAGCCTCCTCTCCAGGACGTCCCAGCCTCCACTTCCCTCCTTCCCTGGGTCCCCAGCCCCACCCTCCAGCCCAGGCCAGGCCCCAGTGGAGGAGGCTTGCCAGCCGGGTGCCTCCCGGAGCCTCCCCGTGGTGGCCCCATGGTCTCTGCGGAGCCGGAGCCGAGAACGGTGCCAAAGTCCAGCAATGCCCCCAGACCCTTGTCCCTGGGCCTCGTGACCCTCGGGGCTGCCCCTCTCGGTGCTCCTGGAGCCTCGAGCCGCGTCACAGCAGTCTCCCTGGCGCCTCCAGGGTGGGCATCCGCGCTCAGTCCCCATCCCCGGTCGCCCGCTCCTCAGTGTTACAAAGCCTGGGGACCAGTGTGGGCATCTCGGGCTCTCACGTGTGCCCCCCACAATGCCCACCACCATTTTGCACACTGCCTGTTCACACTCCACATGTCGCCCAGGCGGGAAAGATGGAAAATAAAGTGTATTTACACAGTCACGGACAAGGGATGCTGAGCGCGCAGGCCTAGGGGTGGGCAAATTGCAAGCAGCCGTGGGTCCCCAGCTCCTTGTCCAGGGAAGCAGTGAGGAAGGGAGCGGGCTGGCCTGGCCGTTGGGAGCCTCCCACAGCCTGAGAGAATGAGGGGTGGAGGTCACAGCAGGTCAGCAGGGGGCCAGAGAGGCCACCGGGTTGGGGTGCAGAGTGGGAGGGGAAAGAAGAGCATGTGTTGGTTCAGTCTGAGCAGAAGTGGAGGGGAAGGGGGAGACAGAATGGGGGCACAAGTCACAGTGGACCTCAGATGTCAGGCTCACAGATGGATCCGGATAGCGTGGCTCTCAAGATAGGGAGGGGTGGGGGGGCCCGCAGGGTAGTGGGGCAAGTGCCCAATAGATGAATGTGTAGGGAGATCAGGGAAGGCTTCCTGGAGGAGGTGGCAGGTGTCAGCCATCTCCAAGGGCCAACGCTTAAAGGTGAGACAGACCAGAGACCAGCAGGAGGCACATGTTGCCTGTGAAGAAGGAATAGAAGAGTGGGCGTGGCCAGGCCACGAAGGGGCTTCTCCAGTCCAGAGCCAGAGTTTGCACTTTGAACTGAGGGCACTGGGGAGCCATGGCAGGCTTAGGTGAGGGGGGCATCATCAGATAGACCACAGTGTAGGGGGTCATGAAGAGGCCAGGGCAGAGACCCACCAGAGCTGGGCAGTGGAGGCAGTGAGTGGGCTGATCTGAGCTGAGACAGCGTCCTGGCTGGGGTGGTGGGGACACAGCCCGGGATGGCAAAGGAAGGCTTCCTAGGGGAAGAAACTTAATTGGGAGCAGCCAGATGCCAGCTAGGCCCTGCCCTCTGCACCCAATGTGGGCCCACAAAGTGCCCCCAACTCTGCTCAGCCAGCAGGATGCTGGCTATGCACTGGGACACCCAAGTCCCGTGTACTGTCCCATCACGTGACAGCTTCTATGGGCCCATGCACCATTCACATCTCACAGATTGAACACTGAGACCCCGACAGTTGCCACCTGTCTCTCCTGCCCCAGGGAGTAATTCCGTCCCAGCTGGTTCCCCAGGGAGGGGTAGGGTCCTAGGGTGGAACATCTGAGGCTCTGCCCTGCTCCTTCTTGGGGGCTGGCCTTGAGAGCCCGGCTGCCCAGTGTGTCAGGGGTCAACCCAACCCCTTGGGCTTGTCTCAGAGTCTGGAAACAAGGACACCTGGGTCCTCCCCAGGGCCCAACTAGGAAGGGACCCTCTGGATTGCCACTGAACTCGGAGCTGGAGTGAGGGAGCATGCTGTTGCCCCCGGCCCCAGCACCGGCTCCCAGGGTGGAGGTGGCAGTGCCCCCCTGGGACAGGGCTGATTTCGCCCTGGACCCGAGGCTGGGAGGTGGCCACGTCTGGGTGGGGGCAGGCAAGACTTGGTGATCCGTGTCTGACAGAAACCTGGCTACAGAGTGCGCTGCGGGGCCCGGATCTAGGGGCAGTGACAGTGCCGAGGGCCCAGCACCGGGTGCCACTCTGTCCTTTTACCTGCCCTGGTGATTGTGGTCCCTGCCGGGCCTGCGTCATTCTTGGTGTGAAGCAGGAGACCCTTGGGGAGCAAGGCCCAGCGGGGGCCCTTGGGGAGGACGGCCCTGGCTGGGGCTTGAGGGTTCCAGGGTCAAGGTGACTGGGCTGTGGGAGGAAGGGCAAGGAATTCTGATAGGGGAGACAAGCGACGACATTGGTCGGCTCTAGTGAGGAGCTTGGGGGGGACACCCTAAGTTGAGGGGAGAGGGGAAGCCCATGGGTTGGGAGACACAGAGGGACCTAGAGAGGACACCTGGAGAGGAGGGGGCAATGTGAGGACTTCCTGGTCTCCCACCCAGCCTTGGGAGGGGCTGCTCCTTGCCTGCAGGCCTCTCTGGGTGCAGCTGGCCCCCGGGGACAAGGAATCCTGTGAGGACCCTACACCCCACACCGGGTCCTTCTAACGAGCCTCGGGCCCAGCTGCAGGCCTGCCTTTTGCACTGCAGCCTCCTCGGGGAGCGGAGGGCAGTGTGCGCAGGGTTGGGAGGCTGGGAGGGAACCCAGATCGCCATCGCCACCCCCGCACCTCAGGGCGTGCAAGGTACGGGGGTGGGGGGGGTGCACTCCGTGAGGAGGGACCTCAGGAAGGGTCCCCACCCTCGCCTCCGACTCAAGCGAGCCCTCCCCACGTGTCTTCCCCCTGCCTCCAGGAGCGCCGGCTCCCCTGGCCCACTGTGGGAAAAGCTTCGATCGTTGTCCACTCGGTCACGCGGCCCCACGGGGAGCCCCTCCTGCGCCTAACGTTTCCACCAGAAGCAGGACGTGAAAACGCCCACGTTCACGCACGGAGACTCGGCAGCGCTCGGTCCCACCCCAGCTCCACCTCACGCGCCCCATCCTCAGTGGAGAAGCCGCACGGCCGGGCGTGCGGAAAGGCCTGCAGCCACAGCTACGATCTGCTCGCGCATAGCCGCCAGCTCGGCCTGGGCCTTTCCCCTCGCGCCGCCCTGCCCTCTGCTCGGCCCCCGGGAGGCCCCACAGTCCCGGTCCCTGCGGCAACGGCGAGGATGCACAGGCTGCAGTGTCCCAGCTTTATTGCAAACTCGGGCGTGCGTGGTGGACACTATACTGGACATGGGGCGGGGCCTAAGCCGAGGGGGCGGGGCTCGAGGGGAGGACCGAGGTCAACGGTGTGGGAGGGTCGCGAGCCTGGGCCAAAAGTCTAGGGCTCCAGGGGGCTGAGAGAGATCCCCCCGGAGCCGAACTCCAGGAGGGGAGAGGGGTCTAAGACAGGCGTAACCGGAGGGGCGGGCCCTAAGCCAGGGGTGGGTGCGGTGGGCGGAGCTAGGCTCTGGCTCAGTGGAAGGTCTCCACCTCTACCACGGTCCAGTCACCCTGCGGGGAAGCCACATCGTCAGGGGAGAAGCTGGTGACCGAGGTGATGCTGGCACGGGACTCGTCCAGGGGAGACAACAGTTCGGCCCAGCGGCCCAGTTCGGCGTCGCTGAGAGCCGTCCGGGCGCCCCCCGCGACGCCGCCAGCCCCGGCGCCCCCTGGGCCACCGCCGCTGCCTCCCGCGGCGCCCTCGGCGGCCGCCAGCAGCAGCGTCCGGCTCAGCAGGTGCTGCACGACGCTCGCCTGCAGCGCCCCCAGCGGCAGCTCGCCCAGGCGCGCCGGCTTCGCGCCCCGAGAGGCAGCCCCGGCCCCCGGCCCCGCCCCCGCCTTCCCACCCCCGGCGCCAGGCCCCGGCCCCGCGTCCAGGGCGCCTGGGGCGGGGGTCGCCGACTCGGGCCCTTCAGCCTCGTAGATGGTGCACAGGCCGTCAGCGGAGCCCGACCCGGTAGCAGGAGGCCAAGGCAGGGGCGCTCCTGCGGGGAGAGAGGCCAGGCTGGGCCGAGGGAGCCCCGCCCAGCCCCTTAGCTCCGCCCCATACCCAACTGCCCCGCCCCCGGGCTGCGAAGCCTCGCCTCCGACCCCGCCCTCCTGCCATCCCCGCCCTCGCCCCTCCCACAGCTCCGCGGGGTCCGGGGGGCTGCTGACCTTGTGCACCGCGGACGGCCAGGGGCGGAGCGGGCCCTCGGCTCCAGGCGGCCGGGTGGCAGGCGGCGAGCTCCGCGTCGGCGGGCGGGGAGGCCGCGGCGCCGCCCTCGGGCCCGCTGTCGTAGCCGCGCAGCTCCTCGGGCGTGCTCGTGGCGCTGCTGCTGTGGCCCGCGAGGTCCGGGCCGCTCAGCGTACTGGACGGGCTGCGCGAGGGCGGCGGCGGTGGGCCCGGGGCCAGCGCCAGGGTCAGCCGTGGGCCCGGGAGAGGGGCATCGGGGCCTGGGGTCGGGGGACGGCGAAGGGCCTGCAGAGGGGGTGAGGCGGGGGGAGAGGGCGGGGCCTGCAGAGGGGGCAAAGCCAGGGAAGGTGGAGCCTGCGGCGGGGGCGTGGCCATGGAAGAGCGAGGGTCTTGCAGAGGGAGTGAGGCAGGAGAAGGTGGGGCTTGCAGAGGGGGCAAGGCCAGAGAAGGAGGAGCCTGCGGAGGGGCTGTGGCCAGGGGAGAGGGGGGATCTTGCAGAGGGGGTGAGGCAGGGGGAGAGGGAGGGGCCTGCAGAGGAGGCAAGGCCAGAGAAGGTGGAGCCTGAATAGGGGGCGTGGCCAGGGGAGAGGGCAGGGCCTGCAGAGGAGGTGAGGCAGGGGGAGAGGGAGGGGCCTGCAAGGGTGGCGAGGCTAGAGAAGATGGAGCCTGTGGAGGGGGCGTGGCCAGGGGAGACGGAGGGTCTCGCAGACTGGCGGAGGCCACAGAGGGTTGGGTTTGCAAAGGAGGCATAGCCAGGTAAGAAGGCATGGTCTTCAGAGGGGGAGATGCCAGAGAAGGTGGAGCCTGCGGAGGGGACATGGCCTGAGGAGAGGGTGTGGCCTGCAGAGGCGGTAAGGTCAGAGAAGGTGGGGCCTGTATAGGGGCCAGGGTCAGAGGAGAGGGAGTGGCCTGTAGAGGGGGCGTGGTCCGAGAAGGTGGAGAGTGTGGAAGGGGCATGGCCAATGGAGAGGGCGGGGCCTGCAGAGGTGGCAAGGCCAGGGAATGTGAGGCCTGTATAGGGGGAAGGGTCAGAGGGGAGGGAGTGGCCTGTAGGGGGGGCGTGGACAGAGGAGAGGGAGGTGGGGATGCCAAGGGAGATGGAGAGCCTAGAGGAGGAGGACACTGCAGAAAGAGTGTGGTCAGAGAAGAGGGAGAAGCCTGCGGAGAGTCCTGCATGGGAGGTGTGGCCAATGTATGGGGCGTGGCCCGAAGAGGCGGCGGAGAGAGGGAAGGACTGGCCCGCGGAGGGGGCGTGGGCAGAGCGGAAAGCCCCTGCAGAGGGGGTGTGGCTAGGGGAGAAGGAGGGTTCCGCAAAGATGTTGCTTGAGAAAGAGAGGTTTGTAGAGGGGGCGCGGCTGGTGGTAGAGGAGCCGAGAAAGAAGGTGTGGCCGAGGGAGAGGGGAGAGTCAGAAGAGGGGGCAAAGCAGGGGAAGCCTGAGTAGGGGGCATACTCTGCAGAGGGGGTGAAACCGATGGAGAGAATGGAACCTGAACAGTGGCCGTGGCCAAGGCAGAGGCAGATGCCTCCGGAAAGGATGTACCCAGGGGTGTGGGTGGAGCTTGCAAAGGGGGTGTGGCCGGCGGGGAAGGGAGGGTCTGCAGAGAGGGTGGAGCAGAGGGAGAAGGAGGGGCTAGTGGAAGGGGCGTGGCCAAAGGACAGGTAAGGACCTGGGAAGGGGGCGTGGTCGGTGGAGACACAGGGAGTGCGTCCGGGAGGGGCGTGGCTGTGATGTGGGGAGGCGGTGCCAGTTGTGCAGTGGGACAGGCTGGAGTGGGTGTGGCCAGAGGAGGAGAAAGGCCTTGCCCAGGGGCTACGCCCCTCCTTGGGGGCGTGGCCTGTGGGGGGCGCAGAGCCTGCAGCCCTTTCGTCTTGGGTTGCAAGGGATGCACCAGAGCCCGCGGTGTTCCACCCAGCGAGGCCCCGGAGCGGGCTGGGGATGACAGAGGGGTGGCGCTGGAGCCCAGGGGGCGCGAGGCTGGCCTCTGGAGTCCCCCGCCGGCGTTGGGTCGCCTCCTGGCGGCAGGGCTCGACTCCGCTGTGCTGCGCTCCGGGGCGCTGCTCACTGATTTCCTGGGGGCCTCGGTGGGAGGCCGAGGCCGGGCACTGGGAGCTGCCCGAGGGAGACCCACCTCAGCGCCCGCAGCCCGGGACCGACGGGAGATGGTCGGGGAAGGGGCACCTGGGGTGGACCCAGAGGAGTCTGGGGACAAAACAGAAGGCCAAAGGGTGACCAATACTTCTGGGCTGGTCCCCCTCACTGCCCAGGAAGCCCACTCCTCTCCAGGTCACGTACCTCTCCGTGCCCCGGCGCTCAGGGCGCTCCTTCTAGGCGTTTCTGGGGCTTTTCCTCTGGCCGCAGGTTCCTCAGCTGGGGGCCGGAGGCCCTTCTGCCCAAGAGGGCCTAGCCTGGGGACAGGAGGGGCTATGCTAAGGGCAGAGCCCCAGCTCCTTGTTTCATCTCCCAAGTCTACACTTTCCCATCTGTGAAATGGGACATGTGCCTTCTCTGTGGACCAATAATGGCTTTCATACAATTTGCACCCGGTGATCTTCAAGTGCTCCCACGCCCAAATTGATGTGTAAAATTAAAAGGTTCCAGATAGTGACACTAACCCTGCCTAGGGAAGGGGGGAGGGGGGCATGTTACCTGGTGGTCCCGCTGGTGCGCCCCGGGCTAGAGACAGAGACTGGGCCGGAGGTCTTGGCAGGGGTCCGCTCCCCTCTCCCAGCAGCGGGGGCCCTGGAAGCTGCGGGGAGAAGGCCGAGTCAACATGGTTCCCCGGAAAGAAGGGGGATCCCGGAGCCTCAGAAGGATAGGGGGGCAAGAAGATGGGGTCTGAATCGGAAAGATGCCGGGGTACCTGGGCTCCGGGGGCCTGTCCCGGCGCTCCGCGCTGGTCCCACGCGGGGAGCAGCCTCGGGGAGAGCGGCTCCCCGGATGCCGGCTCGCTCCGCCAGGGGCCCTCGCCCCGCAGCTCCCGCTGCCCCCAGAACTCGGAGGGCCGCGCTGGTTACGGGAGGAGGGGGTCGAGGAGACCCTGGGGGCCTGGGAGTCGGAAGGCCAGGAGGGCGAGAAGCCGGCGTCCGCGCGGCGGCCCCTGCCCTGGCCTTGTCCCTCTTGTCCATCCCGCACCTGATGAAACAGACCGATCAGCATCCGAGGTCTTGGACCGCTACGCTGCCTGCAGGGACCTGGGTCCTGGCACCTCGCGTCCCCTTCCCCAGCGTCGCCACCCACGGGCGCCCAAACCTCGATCCACTTCCCTTTTACCCACACCCGCACCCACTCACCAACCCAGCTGTTCATGGTTGTCCCTAAAGTCCCACCCCCACCGCTCTCCTCCAGGCCCTGCCTGCCCCACCCACCCCCCTCTCCCGCCTCCGCTCCCTTTCAGGACCCCAGATCCACGCCCCTACCCCTCGCCCCTTCAGGGACCCAGACGACTAGCCTTGGGAACAAGGGGCTGCCAGAGGCTCCGGATGAGGGGGACGCGAGCGCACGCCCTGGTCCTCTCGCCAGCCCCCGGCGCCCTCCCCGGGCCTTCCCGAGGGATGCCGGCACCTGCCGGGAGGAGGAGCGGCTCCGGCTGCCCGCGAACGGGCTCGGGGAGACAAAGAGCCGCGTCCCGAGCCCGTCCCCCTCCCCCAGCCGGGCCCCGGCCCGCGTCGCCCCCCTCCACCTGCTGGCGCCGCGCTCACCTCCGGCTCCGGCTCCCGCTGCTCCACACTGGGTCGCCTGGGGTGGGGCTGGGTGGGAGCGCCGCGGAGGCCGAGAGCGCCGAGAAGGCGAGGGGAGGGGGCTTCGGGCGGCGGCGCCAGGAGCCGAGCCCGCCCCTCGAACGCGGGCTGGGGAGACAGGGGCGCGCGCGCGCGATGCAGACCCGGGAGGAGGCGGGAGCGCGCTGGGAATGGAGGAGCGCGCGTTGGGGGGAGGCGCGGCTTCTCGGAGGTCCGGGGAGGCTTGTGACCGCGGCTGCGGCTGAGGACCTCAGACACCGCACAGGAGGGGGTTCAAGGGAAGTCCTCGGGGTCCCTGACCCGGCCTCCCCCCACCCGCGCACACACACCTGCCCAGCACCCCCCACACACAGCCACCTGGCGACCAAGGCCCACCTGGACGCGGATAGGCTGGGCCATGGCAACCAGGGGGCGGGACCATCGCGCCTCGGGCCCGATCGACCAATCCGGCCGCTCCGGGTCCTGGTCCCTGTCCCCGCCTTCACGACCACGGAAGCCGGGCCCCCCAGGGTCCCTGGTGCCAGCGTCCCTCTCATACCCGAAGGCTTCTCCCAGGCCCGGGGAAACCCTCTACCTGATTGAAGAGGGGACTACTGTGAGAATGCAGCCCTGGGAATTTAGGGGTAGACCCCGGAGTTGGGGGAACATAAAGAAAGGAAGGACGAGAGGGAGGGAGAGAGTATGGTGAGAAGTGACCCCGCGTTCTGCAGGGCAGAGCACCCTCATCCTCCACACCCCCCTGGGTCACAGGAAGAGGTGAGATCAAGCCAGCAAGGCTCCTCGGCAAAGCCTGGCTTTGAGGGGCCAAGATTATGGGAGTCAAAACAGGTGTATGAAGGTGCAGAGGCGATCCCGACCGAGGTTTCCCAGCCCAGCGGGCGCCAGTGGGAGGCGTCATTTTGGTGACTTCGCCAACGCCAACTCGTGCAGGAGCCTCAGGGGAAGAACTCGATAGGGGACTGAGGGGGTGGAAGGGTGAAGAGGGAGATGACCAACCTCGGCTGCCCTGCACCAGCCAAGGGATGCCAGGAGCCCTCCCGCAGCTCCACGTCCCCCTACACGCACTGCTTTCAGCCTCCATGCCTCATCTCTGCAGTCTCTTAGCCACCCCGAGCCCCATCCCGCAGAACCCGCTCCCTCTGCCCCACCCCTTCCCCATTACACACACATGGGTGAGCAGCTCATCTCCACCTGGAGCCCAGGGGGCTACTACACAGGACAAGGAAGGGTGGCACGTGACACCTGGGTGAACCTGTCCTGGGAGGAAGGAAGAGAAGCTTAAGTAGGGTGTGGCTGGAAGCAAGGGTTTGGATCTTCTGTCTTGAGGAGTTGTGCCCACAGTTGAGGTTTCAGGAATGGAAGAGTGAAAAACATGGTGGGGTCAGCCCGGCTTTGCCCAGTGGAGGCCCATCTTCAGATCCCGTCCTCCCCACGAACTCTCCCTTCTGCCAGGGAGAGGTGCCCCCTCACAGCCCCCCAGGGCACTGCCCTCTGGATTGGATCATTCTAGGCCTCACCTCCTCCCCAGGTCTACCCAGTGTCAACTGGGTGAGACACTGGCATGACAGCAGCCTGGGTGCCCTGCCCACCCACCCACCCACCGGCAGCGTCCTCTTGCCTTCTATCGTCCCTCCAAGTCTACACTGAATGCATCCTGCATTTCTTCTGGATCTGGACTCCACCCACTTATAAAAATACTCCTCAAACATCCATCAACAGGGAGGTGGCATACACAAGGCAAAGTGTGTCCTATAATAGAATACCCCCCATCGATAGAAAGCAACCAGCTACCAAGACACGCAAAACAGGCACGAATCTCAAAACCATTCTGCTGAGCAAAAGAAGCCACACACACATACACACGGCATGCACTGTATCATTCCATTTATGTAGCATTCTAGAAAACGCAAGTTAATCTATGGTGGGCGAAAGCAAATCAGTGGTTGTTGGGGGGCTGCTGGTGGAGGGAGGTTGTTGACCCACCATTGTAGTCATCATGTGAGGCTATAAGGGCTCATCGTTTTAAGCTGCTGTGTTTTGGGGTAATTTGCTATGCAGCAATAGGTAACCACGTCAGGTTCACAGCGTCTTCAAAGCTGGGTATTAAATTAGTGTTGGCAGGCACGTGGAGAAATCGGAACCCTTGTGCACTGTTGGCGGGAATGGAAAATGGGACAGCCACTCTGGAAGACAGTTTGGTGACTCCTCACAAAATTAAACAGGGAATTACCATATGATCCAGCAATTCCACCCAAAAGAATTGAAATCAGGGACCTGAAGAAATATTTGTACACTCATGCTCATAGCAGCATTATCCACAATGGCCAAAAGATGGAAGCAACCCAAGCGTCCATTGATGGATGGATGGATGGATAGATGCAATGTGGTCCATCCATATGATGGAATGTTATTCAACCATAAAAAGGAAGGAAATGCTGACAGCTGCTCCAATGTGAGTGAAACACGAAGACATGATGCTCAGGGAAATGAACCAGACACAAAAGGACAAATCCTGTGTGATTCCACTCCTCTGAGGTCCCTAGAGGAGTCAGGTTCATAGAGACAGAAAGTGGGATGGTGGGTACCAAGGGCTCGGGGAGGGGGAGCGAATGTTTAATGGGGACAGAGTTTCAGTTTTGCAAAGTTAAAAGTGTTCTGGAGATGGATGGTGGCAATGGCTGCAAAACGCTGAACGTGCTTAACGCCACTGAGCTGTACACTTAAAAATGGTTCCGATGGCAAAGTCTACGTTGTGTGCATTTTCCCCCAATTTTTTTTAAAGGCTGGGTATTATCGATGAGGGGAGACTCACACGCTACTAAGGGGAATGTAAATTGGGTGGTCTTTCTGGAGAACAAGTGGAAAGCGTTGTATGTGTGTCCTAGGACGCAGCCATTCCACTCAAGCATCTACACCTCGGCAGGTGCCATAGACCCCGCAGTATCCCTGAGCACCCACAGTCCCCGTGTGCAGGGACAGTCAGAAGGGCCAGGGAGTCACCCTGTCCATCCCCTTCCCCAGAGCAGCCCTCAGCCTGGAAAGACGAGCTGGTACATCAATACTTCCACTCGCTCACCTCTTGTTTGGGCGCCCACAGTGAGCTGCTCATCCAACCTCATTAACACACCTTCATTCATGTTCACTGGCTTCATCTCTTTCCAGTCCCACCTCCCCACTGCTCCACCACACATGTTTCCTGGGATCACCTTCCAGACAAACTCTTTGCGTGCAATTCCTTGTCTCAGGGTCTGCATCGAGAGGAGCCCAAGGTGGGCCAACAGCTCAATCATCCACCCGTCCATCATCGACTGAAGGCCCACTGTGTGCCCAGGCACCATGCCAAGTGCTGGGGACACAGCAGAGAGCTGAAGTGCCATGTGTCTGGGGCTCCTGGGGCTGCCATCCCAGTGACCTCGGAGCTCTTGCACAAGCAGATGCAGTAGGCACAGCCCTGTCAAAAACTGATGTTATCTTGTTCCTTGATTTGTTTACCTGCTTACTGGCCATCTCTCCCGGCCCGCTAGGACAGAAGCTCTGAGAGCAAAGGGGGCCTCGCTTATCTTGTCAGCACAATGAAGTTTTGTCTTCGGGCTGCCTGTGCCTGATCCCAGGACTTCACAGAGGTCGGGTCCCTGAGGGTCGGGCTCATTGAGGGGTTTCACAGAGGAACCTAAGCTTAGGGGGCCCAGTCCTCAAGGTTTCAGGTCTGGGGCTGCCTCTCATCTGGAGAACTTGTGGGTGTCTTGTTCCCAGTGGGGGAGGGGTCTCATCCACCCTAATCCAGGTCCCTTGAGTTTTGCAGGCAGAGCGGATTAAGATCCAACCACAGACGCCTCTGGGCTGAATTGGGCAATTTGTTAGCCTAAGACCCCGCCCAGGAGAGGAAAGAGTGGAGGTGGGGAGGCAGAGTCATCGTTTCTAGAAGCCAGCCTCCCAGGCCGGACTCCAGCCCCAGCTCCCAGAGCCCTCTAGCCCGGGGCGCCCCTTCTCCCGAGGACCTGGGAGCAGCTGCTCCTCCTCCTGCTCCAGCGGAGGGCTGGCCTCGAGGCTGGGCAGGGTCAGGCAGGAGAGCACCCTCACTCTGCTCCCGGTGGCTCAGTGGTCAGAGCAGGAAGGCGGAAGCCCCTCCCCTTCCCTGGACCCTGGTCACCCGGTTCCTTGGTTGGGCCTGAAGGCCAGGTGGCTGCACCTTGGGGTGGGGGTGGGGCTGGGGGGGCGTAGCTTTGACACCTTCCGGACAGTCTATGCAGCCTGGCTCCCAGAAGGGCGCCTGCAGGCTGGTTTTGGGAGCTCAGTGCCTCCAGCCCCCTTCGGCTTCCCCCACCCCGAGTCCGGCCCGCCTGCAGCCGAGCTCAGGGTGCTAAGGCCCCTGCTCCTCCCGCCGGCCGCTGCCCCCCGCCCCCTCGCGATCCCACAGCGCCAGAAGTGGGGGGCGACCTAGGAGCGCCCGGAGGGAGGCGGGGCCGAGATGGCTGGCGGGAGGGGCGGGGAGGGGCGGCTCCCGGGCTCCTGTCCCGCCCCCCTGACTCACCCAGGCTGGCCCGGGAACTCTGCAGGAGTCCCGGCCGCTCCGTTCCCAGGGATCCAGGAGTTGGGCCCAGCGTCTGGCCCCGGAGCGGTGAGTAAGGGGCTCTCCTCCTCTGGGGACTGCGGTGGCAGAGTGGGGGTCGGGCCGGCGGGAGGAGCGCTCCACGTGCGGCTGGCACTAGGGCCGAGCCCGCCGGCGTCCGGGGCATACAAGGAGCTGGGGAGGGAGGTGGGGGCAGAGAGAGGCTCGGCCTGGGCCAGCCCAAGGGCGCCTGTCCAGGGAGCCCAGAGGGCCTGGCCAAGGACAAAGTGAAGATCAACAGGCTGGGCGTGACCCTGGGGGTCTTGACCATGCTCCCCTCTCCTTGGCTGCTGAGACGACCGCCACAACTCATCCTTGTGAGCCCCTCAATGTCCCAGAGCCCTACCATGTGGAGTCCTCACCAGGCTGCCCCTCTCTGGGAGTCTTGAGCTTCAAGACTTCTCTCATCCCCAAGTCTTGGCAGGGCAGCTTGAAGAAGTACTGGGTTGGGAGTCCCCAGGCCTGGGACCCTACCCAAAATCTGCTACTTAGGTGAGACCGCCCCCCACCCAGGCCTCAGTTTCTCCCTTGTGTAAAAGCCAGAGTTTGGACCTTAGGCTCTCCAGGGGGTCAGAGCTGACAACAGTCGCTGTGTCTTCCTTGCCCCTTAGCATGGGAGGTGGGTGGGGATCGGGGCTGGACCAGGAGCCACCACCACCGCCATGTTTCTGGAGTCAAGCTGGGGGCTTGGGGAAGATCTCAGAGAGGAGAAGCAGGGCTGAGGCATGGATGGGCGGAGCTAAGCCTGGGTAGGGGGTATGGACCTGATCCTAGGCTGATGAGAACCGCCCCCCTTCCCCCCCAGCCTGGCATGCACATCAGCCGTCCTCCCATCTCTTCTCTGCCAGAACCCCCGTCTGAGGTTCTTTTGACAAAGATGCTGCCTCTCAGAGAGAGGTTCTCGCCCAAGATGGAACAGAGTGGATACAGAGGGGACTTGAGGGTCTCGCCTCAAATGTGGCTGTGAAACCTTAAGCAAGTTATTTCACTCCCCGGAGTCTGAGAAAGGAGGTCCTGACACCCACGCTCACACAGTTGGGATAAAGCAAGTCGGCATTGAAAGCACTGGGGGCTGTAAGTGGAGAGTGGCCTTGTTGTTGTTTTTCTCTGGACCCCCACCCCAAGAGCCCCTCTTCCTGGATCCTCCCACCAGCCCTGCTCAGACAAAGGGGGCCAGCCTTGTGTCTGCGGAAGCTTAATGGCAGGTTCGGGACCATCAAGTTTGAGTCATGGAGACAGATAATGATAACCTCTGTGTCTGCCTCTGAGGGTGCTGTGTGTACACCTTGCTCCATGGGAGCCGCTGGGCCATCCACTGGGGATCCTGGGGGGTCTCTGCCTTCTTGCGTTCGATTGTGAACCCAGGATGCAGGTGGCGAGCTTCCACCGTCATGACATGGGTCCTAAAGGGTGGCATGGACTCACGGAGAAAGTTGGTCCCTGTCGGTCTGTGTGGCATTTCTGCCGCAGCCCCCAGAGTTGCTGTTCTTAGGTTAGGCAGCTGAGCAGGGTCCCTTGCAGGGTCCCAATGGGGTGAGGAGGACAGTGGGTGGCCAGAAGTGGAAGAGGGTGTATGGCTGGCTCCTTTGTCCTGGGTGTCTTGCACTGTGTCTTCACATGCACAAATTACACACTTTAGTGTGACCCCACGTGTCCCTTTTGGTGGCTGCAATGTACATTCAGCCCCCCGGGGGCTGTTGAGCTGTCATTCGGGTGTTGTTATCAGATTCCCTGGTGACTGAGACTGACTGGGATGCACTGGGGTCTTTTCACCTGCCTTTTTGTTTGGACAGAGTATAAAGCTGAACGTGAGTGACAGGCCCGTATGTGAGCTAGCCTGTGCTCTGGGTCCCCCCTTTTGTGTGCCTGGTGCTGGGTGAGTCAGGCCTGAGTCAGGGGGCCTGGGAGCCTGGGTGTGGGCAGGTGTGTGCCCATCCCTTGCGTGCCATCCCCTCACAGGGTACAGAGGTGGGAGCCTCTGAAGGGATTTAGGGGTGAGGTGCTCTGCCCCGCCCTCAGCCTGGTGGGCGGGGCCTGCATCCTGTAACCCCGCCCACTCCACCTCGTCCTCACCCAGGAGTCACCCCAGGGTCTTCAGGGGACCAAAAAGGGAGGCATGGAGGTGTTAGAGCACTTGGCTGAGATGTAGGACAGGGGCCAGGTTCCCCCCAGGAGATGGAGGGAGTCTCGAGAACCAGCGGGCAGCCCAGACGCCTCCCTCCCTTGCAGAGCCTGGTGCCCAGTGACAGGGTGTCAGGATGAAGACAGCAGGCTCCATCAACCTGCGTGAGAAAGCCAGGGCTATAGATTGGGCAACGTGGATGCTGGGAGGGGGAGCCGGCCTAGGAGCCCCCTGGGAGGCAGTGGGGCTCTTGCTGTCTCTCTTTCCTTCGGCTCCCAGACTCAGGGAGAGGGGAGGACGGAGGCCCCCCGGCTGCCTGCCGGGGAAGGTAATGTCCCAGCTTGTGGCCCACGCCCCCGTGTGACTTGCTCCTGGCCCTCTGTATCTGGAATAATGATACCTTGGTCTAAAATGAAACCCAGGACAGACAGAGTGGGCCGGGCGCCCAGGAGCCTGGGAGCCCAGCCCTGTCCCAGTCGTAGGTGTCAGGCTGGCTTTCTCCCTGAGCGTTTTCCAGTTCCTGATCCTCTGCCTCTCAGAGCTCAGGTCTCTTGTCTGTCTCAGATTCTGGGCACTAGCCCCTTTAGAAAACTCAGGTGTCCTAGTCCCCCTGCAGGGCTGATCAGCCTTCAGCTTCTCCGCTCCCTGCCCCTGGGGCCCCGTAACCAGAGCCAGGCTCCAGCCGGCTTTTCCGGTTAGAGTTTGGAGGTGGTGCCCGGAGCGCCCCTGAAGGGGGTGGGGGGCCCACGCCCCGGAAGTCTCGAGCCTCGGCACGATCTCTGGTCCCGTGGCTGAGACAGCCGGGACTGGCACCCGGATACCGGGTGTCTGGAGTGCGAGCAACAGAACGAGTGTTTGGGGCCTCGGCGTCACGGTGGGAGGAGATGCCTGGGTTCCGGGAGGAGGCCACACGGGCAGACTGGAGGACAGCGGCCCTGCGGACGGCCCCCCCTGAGCTCTGAGAGGGCAGGCAGAGTCAGATCGGGGCAGGGGTCCCGGGGAGCAGACGCGGTGAGAATGGGGGTGGCTTGGCTCCTGGAAGCAGGAGAGGTCCGGGGAGAGGGGAAGGGGGGCACGCGGCTGCAGGGATCTGCCAGACTTGGGATGGCGCAGCGCAGATTCGGAGCAGAGGTGTGTCTGGCTCCTCTGGGGACCCACTGCCAGGCGCCCCTTCCTGAGTCTCTGCACCCCCTGCCTCCTCCTCTCCCATAGGCAGCATGATTCCGGTGGCCGAGTTCAAGCAGTTCACGGAGCAGCAGCCCGCCCTCAAGGTGCTCAAACCCTGGTGGGACGTGCTGGCCGAGTACCTCACTGTGGCCATGCTCATGATTGGGGTCTTCGGCTGCACCCTCCAGGTAAGGGGCGGGGCCTGGCTGCCGGCTGCTGGATCTGGTAGGGGCTGCAGGGGCGGGGCCTAGATGAGAGGCGGAGCCTTAGGCAGATAGAGGGGGCGGGGCCTGGATAAGGTACAGAGCCATAGGGATAGGGCTGGAGGGTCTGAGCCTGGATGAGAGGCAGCACCTTAGGGGGCTGGAGGGGCGGGGCCCGGATAAGGGACAGAGCCAGATGGATAGGGGCTGGAGGGGTGGGGTCTGGTGAGAGGCGGAGCCTTAGGCAGCTGGCAGGGGCGGGGCCTGGATAAGGGACAGAGCCTTAGGGATGGAGGCTGAGGGGCGGGGTCTGGGTAAGAGGTGGAGCCTTAGGGCGGGGCCTGGACGAGAGGGGCGGGGCCCGGGGAATTCCGGAAGTCTTCCTGTTACGCAAAGACGGGGAAGCCTGAGGTCCACTGGCCAACAAATTCTGACCTCTTCCCATTTCCACCACCTCTGGCAGCCGCCCCAGAGTCTTCCGCATGGCTATGGCAGTCTACACTTTTAGAATACTCAGTTTTATCCCTGGAACCTAGAAAGAACTAGTTAACTCTATTAATTTGCTACGGACCGCTGTAACAAAGTAGCACAAAGTGGGGAGCTTAAAGAAAAATTCTTTGTTTCAGATCTGGAGAGTAGAAATCTGAAACCAAAGAGTGGACAGAGTTGTTTCCTTCAAGGCATGTGAGGGAGGATCTGGTCCATGCCTCGCTCCTAGATTCTGGCGGCCGCAGACATTTCTTGGCTTATTGACATTCTCCCTGTATCTTCCTATCATCTTCCCTCTGTGTGCGTGTGTGTCTGCGTCTGTGTCCAAATTTCCCCTTTTGACAAGGACACAGTCGTGTTGGATTAGGGTCCACCCCAACGGCCTCATCTTAACTTGATTACACCTGCTCTGCACAGACATTTCCCAACAAGGCCACATTCACAGGTATTGGGGTTAGGACTTCCATAGCTTTTGCAAGGACACAATTCAACCCAACTCTCTTTTTCAGACAAAGATCGATGCTCAGAGGTTTAGCGACTCTTCCAAAGTCACAGCCAGCCGGGGACAGTCAGGGATCTGAGCCTCCAGCCGTCAGCCTGCTCCTCTCTCCCCGACTCCCCAGGCTGTCCCAGCTCCTTCACCCTCTTTTTCATTCTCTCCCCCATCCCCAGGTGACGCAGGACAAGATCATCTGTCTGCCCAGTCATGAACCCCAGGAGAACTCATCAGAGGCCCCGTGCCAGCAGCTGCTCCCGCGGGGGGTCTCGGAGCAGATGGGGGGCCTCCGGGAGGTCAGGGGCCTGAAGAACAACCTGGACCTGCAGCAGTACAGCTTCATCAACCAGCTCTGCTACGAGACGGCCCTCCACTGGTACGCCAAGTACTTCCCCTACCTGGTTGTCATTCACACGCTCATCTTCATGGTCTGCACCAGCTTCTGGTTCAAGTTCCCCGGCACCAGCTCCAAGATCGAGCACTTCATCTCCATCCTGGGCAAGTGTTTCGACTCCCCGTGGACCACGCGGGCCCTGTCCGAGGTCTCCGGGGAGAACAATAAGGGCCCCACCACTGGACGGGCGACGGTGGCCGTGGCGGCCACAGCGGGTCCCGGGAAGGCAGGGGAAGGCGAGAAGGAGAAGGTGCTGGCAGAGCCTGAGAAGGTGGTGACTGAGCCACCGGCCGTCACTCTGTTGGACAAGAAGGAGGGTGAGCAGGCCAAGGCCCTGTTCGAGAAGGTCAAGAAGTTCCGCGTGCATGTGGAGGAGGGAGACATCTTGTACACCATGTACATCCGGCAGACGGTGCTCAAAGTCTGCAAGTTCCTTGCCATCCTGGTCTACAATCTCGTCTACGTGGAGAAGATCAGCTTCCTGGTGGCCTGCAGGGTGGAGACCTCAGAGGTCACAGGCTATGCCAGCTTCTGTTGCAACCACACCAAGGCCCACCTGTTCTCCAAGCTGGCTTTCTGCTACATCTCCTTCGTGTGCGTCTACGGGCTGACCTGCCTCTATACGCTGTACTGGCTCTTCCACCGGCCCCTCAAGGAGTACTCCTTCCGTTCCGTGCGGGAGGAGACTGGCATGGGTGACATCCCCGATGTCAAGAACGACTTCGCCTTCATGCTGCACCTCATTGACCAGTATGACTCGCTCTACTCCAAGCGCTTTGCTGTCTTCCTCTCTGAGGTCAGCGAGAGCCGCCTGAAGCAGCTCAACCTGAACCACGAGTGGACGCCCGAGAAGCTGCGGCAGAAGCTGCAGCGCAACGCCCGGGGCCGGCTCGAGCTGGCCCTCTGCATGCTCCCGGGCCTGCCCGACACTGTCTTTGAGCTCAGCGAGCTGGAGGCGCTCCGGCTGGAGGCCATCTGCGACATCACCTTCCCCCCGGGCCTCTCGCAGCTGGTGCACCTGCAGGAGCTCAGCCTGCTCCACTCGCCCGCCAGGCTGCCCTTCTCCTCACAGATCTTCCTGCGGGACCGCCTGAAGGTCATCCGTGTCAAGTGTGAGGAGCTCCGCGAGGTGCCCCTCTGGGTGTTTGGGCTGCGTGGCCTGGAGGAGCTGCACCTTGAAGGGCTCTTCCCCCCGGAGCTGGCTCGGGCGGCGACCCTCGAGAGCCTCCGGGAGCTGAAGCAACTCAAGGTGCTGTCTCTGCGGAGCAACGCCAGCAAGGTGCCAGCCAGTGTGACCGACGTGGCCGGGCACCTGCAGCGGCTTAGCCTGCACAATGACGGGGCCCGCCTGCTGGCCCTTAACAGCCTCAAGAAGTTGGCGGTGCTGCGGGAGCTGGAGCTGGTGGCCTGCGGGCTGGAGCGCATCCCCCACGCCATCTTCAGCCTGGGCGCGCTGCAGGAACTTGACCTCAAGGACAACCACCTGCGGTCCATTGAGGAGATCCTCAGCTTCCAGCACTGTCGCAAGCTGGTCACGCTCAGGCTGTGGCACAACCAGATCGCCTATGTCCCCGAGCACGTGCGTAAGCTCCGGAGCCTGGAGCAGCTCTACCTCAGCCACAACAAGCTGGAGACCCTGCCCAGCCAGCTCGGCATGTGCTCTGGCCTCCGCCTGCTGGACGTCTCTCACAACGGGCTGCGCTCCCTGCCGCCTGAGCTGGGCCTCCTCCAGAACCTGCAGCACCTGGCTCTCTCCTACAATGCCCTGGAGGCCCTGCCCGATGAACTCTTCTTCTGTCGCAAGCTGCGGACGTTGCTGCTGGACTACAACCATCTGAGCCAGCTCTCGCCCCAGGTGGGGGCCCTCAGGGCCCTCAGCCGCCTGGAGCTCAAGGGCAACCGGTTGGAGGGGCTGCCAGAAGAACTCGGCAACTGTGGGGGGCTCAAGAAGGCGGGGCTCCTGGTGGAGGACACCCTTTATGAGGGCCTGCCGGCAGAGGTGCGGGAGAAGATGGAGGAGGAGTGAAGGTAGGGAGGGGTAGGTGGAGGTACAGCCCTTCCAGATGCTTCCAGCCCCGAATCTCTACCATTGTCTTCCAAAGAAGTGGCCAAATGGGCCCAAGCCAGGAGAGGAGGAGCAGACAAAATCCGGGGACTGGTTTGTCTGGGGAGAGACGGAAGACTGTGGATTCCGGGTGGAACATAATGGACGGATTAACTCAGTCATAGGATTCTCAGACCAAAACCACACCCATGTCTCTGGGTTGCTGGCTTGCCTCCCAGCCCCGGGCCAGAACTGCTACCCTCCCCCTGGACATTCCAGCTCAATCAGTGCCACCTACTGGGTGGGGGTACATCCCAATGGGATTTCAACCCTCTCCCCTCCCCCCCAACAAAATGGCTTACATCTGGGTTCTCTCCCAAGGAGGGGACACAGACACAAGGGACCAGCACCTCCTCCCCTCCCACACCTTGATGCTAATCCCTTATTTATAAGTTGTTTGCTACGGACATGTGAACACAGAAAAATGGTTCTCCTATTTGGCTATGCATCAAAATCAACATGCCCAAAACAAAACATGTCAGGCCCCACCCTGAAAGACTGACTCAGGATGTTCGGCTGCAGCCAGGAACTTGTTTGTAAGTAAGCATTCCAGGTAATTCCGAGGCAGGTGGTCCTAGGCATGTATGTGGGGAAACGCTGACCAACAGAACAGTTATCTGGATGTCCGGAGCAGGGATCCTGAATGGGTTTCAGGGCCTAGAGCCTTGGAGAATCTACTGAAGCTGGCCACCTCCTTCCTTAGGAAAATGTTCATGTGCACAGAGTTCTGCAAACCACTTCAGGCAGTCGATAGATTCCCTCGGGTCTCCCAGAGGGCCATTCACGGACATCCTAAGGATGGCAGACCCCAGGTTAAGAACACTTGCTGCGGAGGGTGCATTTTTCTGAGGACAGGCAGGGACGTTAGCTTTCGAACGTCCCTGTGGGAGGGAGCATCAGTGGGTGCTCAATAAATAATACTAATCACGAGAACTATAATTCCGAGCTGTGTCCACTCCTGCCATTGTCTAAGCCTTCTACTTCACCAGACCAGTTAAGGCAAGTGGCAACACCAACGTGCCAGAATCAAAGGTATGAGTCTGTCCTGGGAGCAGAGGCTGAGAGAGACCGCAGCTAATCAGAAGGAGAAAGCGGGTGGCATCTTCAGCCTAGCTTTTTTTCTGGAGAACCCTTTTCCCTCTGCCTTCTGTGTTATTCTCCCGGTTTGCATCTGCTCCATCCGTAAGTCATCACCAGAGGAGTCCCCATGAGCCTTCAACGCCATCACTGTTCCGGAACTAGACCAGGAGCCGACAGGGCACTTGGCACAGCTGCCTGACCCTGACCTCCTGGGCTCGGCCACCTCCCACGCGCCCGCAAAATGCGAGCTTCCCCCTGGGACCCAAGAGCAGAGGCAAGGGGCTCTCCGGGACCCAGGGTTCCAGGTGGGGACATTTTCCCAGCACCCTTCAGACCAGTTAAAGGAAATCTGTAGACTGCAGGGGGCGCCAGGCGGAGAGCCTAACCCCAAGCCCTGTCCTCTGCACTGTCCAGGGCCTGGGCTCACATTTCCGGGGCGAGACACATTCAGCAAAGTCTTAAAAATGTCCCACACGGGTCTGACCTGGAACTCTCTGGCCTTGACCTTGGCCCCGTCGCCGAGGTCAGAGGTCACGCCGCTGGATTCCCAGTGGCCCCAGCCCTACCCCGCCCCTCCCGCCTGTCCTCGGCCAACCCCGAGCTTGCTGAAATGGAAAGGGCTCCCCACGGGTGCCTAATTATGGTGAGGAGGCAGCAATTATGCATAACAGGGATCCTAATAAAGCACTGTCCGAGAAGAGAGAGGCAATTCCGAGAGGGCGTGGCTGCAGAGAGGGCCGGGCCGGGAAGAGCGAGGAGACGGAGGACACAAACCCGCGACAGGCACGGGAGACGGCTGCCGAGGAAAGAGCCAAGGCTGCGCACGCGCAGCACACGCCACGCGCGAGATTTCGTCTCCCCCGCTGTGGGCATGCGCGCCACTTTCCCCGCCCACCGCTCTCGGCAGAAGGGCGAGTGGGTTTCCACAGGGCTCCTGCCGCCGGAGCGCTCGGGAATTCGCGCATGCGCAACACGGTGGGGGATTTGCACGTTGCCAGCAAAGAGCTCTAGGAGGCGTCATCCCTCTGGCTGCGACGCAGCACGCACGCGCAGAGGTTCTCACGAAGGAAGGGCGGGAGCGCGCCGCGGGCATGCGCCGTGCCGGGGGAGACGGCGGCTCGGCGGGGTCATCCGCGCGCAGGCGCAGTGCGGTGTTTGTCTGCCGGACTGACGGGCGGCCGGGCGGTGCGCGGCGGCGGCGGGGAAGATGGCGGCGTCCTCCCTGGAGCAGAAGCTGTCCCGCCTGGAAGCAAAGCTGAAGCAGGAGAACCGCGAGGCCCGGCGGAGGATCGACCTCAACCTGGATATCAGCCCCCAGCGGCCCAGGCCCAGTAAGCACGGCGGCGTGGGGGAGGGGGCGAGCGGGGCGGGGCGCGCGTCGCGGGAGGCCCCGCCCCCGCCGCCAGGCCCCGCCCCCGCTTCCGGGGCGCTCTCTCTCCTCCTCCCCGCCCCCCCCCGCTGTAGGCTCGCGGGGAGAGGGTCACGGTGACCCGGGGGGCGTGGGGCCCGCGAGCTGCGGGCAGCCCTCCCCGGCCTGAGGGTTCCCACTGGCGGCACTTGAAGCCCGGTTACCCGGGCCCAGGCCAGGCCCCCCGTCTGTGACCCGCCCCCGTCACCGTGATCCTCGGAGCCTCTGTCACCTGCTCCAGCCGTGCGCCCCCTACTCCACGCGAACGTGACCACGTCCAGGTCCCCGCAAACATGTCCACATTCTATTTGACCAGAGGATCCCACTCCCACCATCTCAGTGACTGTCAAGAGGCCCCATCCCCTCTCCCCGCCTGGGCCCTTGTCATCCGGTTCCGCGGATGATCCGCTCACACACAGGCACACACCTGGCCTGGGGACACTTGAGGTCACACAGAACCCCTGTATTCCTCTGACCAGATGACTCTCCCAGTCCCACCCTGTGACTGTGTCTGGCGATGCCTCCTTACCTGCCTGGCACTTTGTGATTGGGCTCAGCAAACTGCCTTCTGCACACTCTACCCGCATACACCAGGCCCCTTGTGCCCCTTTAGCTTCTCTGCCACCGTCTAGGTGACTCTCTTTAGCCCCTTCAAAAATACTCAACCCCCATCCTGGGGACTCGGTCACCCGGATTCAAGTGACTTCCCCTTTCCCGCACACCCACCTCCACAACCCGGGGACACCTGAGGCTACCCAGGCATTCCAGCACACATGCACCTCCTTTCTGATCCCATTGTCTTATCTTGTCCTCTGTCCTCTGGAGTCCAGAGCCATCCCTCCGGCACCCACACCAGGCCTGGGGTCACCATGAGCACACCTAGCGTACAGAACCCCCTCCCCAAATTCTCTCAGCTGGAGGGCATCGATTTCCCCCTCCCCACAGACTTGATGGACAGCACCCCCCTATAAGCGCTTTTTGTGACTCTGACCCAGCAAGTTGCTCTCCTTTATGTTCCTTCAGATGCGATGTGACCTAGTAGCTTAAGTAACTCTTCGGGGGGTCGTCCTGATGGGAGGGGAGGACACCCCCATATTTGGGTACCCCAAGCACTTCCCGCTTACCCAGCCTGCCCCCCACCGCCCCTGTGTATGGTTCACTCCCCATCCCTCCCTCTTCTGACCTGGGTTCCTCCCTGGAGGGGTCTCTTGGGGCCCCAGAGAGAGCCCTGAGGTGGTGATGCTGGCTTGGACACTCCTGGAGCAGGACCTGGCCAGCACTGGAGGGTCCCTGCTGGGCTCTGCAGCGCTGCTACCCCGCCAGCCCCAGCGTGGAGGGGACAGTGCGGGGTGCGTTAGGGGGTGGCCATCCCAGGTGCAGAGAGAGGCATGGCGAGGCCCACGGCGGGCAGGCCCCCCGAGGAGCCCCCCTCCAGGCGTCTGTGTGTGCTCCATCCCATCCTCCCAGTCCTCCATCTCTGTCGGTTTCTCCCCATCTCTGCGGTGTGGTGCCTCGCGCCTCCCCCTCGTTATGATTTGATTTCTTTTCTTTTGGACAGATCGGTGGTTTCTGTTGTGATTTATCGTGGTGTTGTTTTTTTCTTCCTTTTCCCATCCAGTTATTGTGATCACTCTAAGCCCTGCTCCTGCCCCGTCCCAACGAGCAGGTACCAGCCTTTTTATCATCGCCGCTTGGGACATCTGCACCATTGACCTAACCGCTGCCCCGGCCGCAGAATGCCTTCCCCACCCCCCCATGCTGCGTGTGTGCGCGTGCGCATCTCCTCTCTCTCTCTCTCTCTCTCTCACTCACTCTCACTCTCACTTTCACCCCTTCCACACGGTCCACGTCCGGCCGCCTGGCCTCTTCCTCTGTGTCCTGTCACCTCTCGCCCCTGCCTTCCTCTCGGGCACAGGTTTGGACTCCCTGGAGGAGGAAACGGGCGCCCTCGCTGACTAGGAGTCATGACTAGGGGCATGCGTGTGTGCCAGTGTGTGTATGTGAGAGGGAGGGAAAGTGGGGCCAGTGGGGGGACTGGCCTGTTGAGCCATTTCGACACTTCAGCGAACACCGATGGCCCCTGTGTGCTGGCCTGTTCCAGGCACCAGGGACACAGCAGTGAATACAAGGGACCGGGTCCATGCCATTGTGCGGCTGACACTGGGGGTGGGGCGAGGAACAAGGAGCCCACTCCCAATCAGGGAGCCTGGAGAAGGCGACGGGGCTCGGAGAAGAGGCGAGACAGATCAGGGCTGGGGTCCTGCAGGGGACGGTCGGGGAGCCTCTAGAGTAGGTGGTGTTTGAGCCTCATGGGAGGTGGGGGGACATGTGAACCGTGGCCGAGGGAACAGCCCCACCAAGGCCGAGCGCAGGTCCAGCAGGTCTGGGAGCGGATGAGTGTGGGATGTGCCTGTGTGTGGATGTGCGCGTGTGGGAGACCTGGCCGGCGGTCCTGGTGTGTAAGTGGGGCTAGGTTGGGCAACTGTGTGTACACAGTCTTGGGGGGGGGGGGGGCGCTGGCTCTGTCAGAGGCTCTGTGGCATGTCGTCTGCCTGTCTGCATGTGTGTGGGAGTTTGTGCCACGCCGGGTGTGCGTGCGTGCGTGTGTGCATGTTGGGCTGACAGCCTGGTACATCTGTGGCTCCTGATGGCCACATGCCCCTGTGTCCTCTCTTGTTCTCTCTCTTTCTCTCCCTCCTTCCATCTCTCTCTCTCTCTCTCTGTGTCCCCCTTTCTCGTGCAGCTGCTGTCCCTCCCGCCCTGCCGTGTGGTGCATCACCACTCCTGTGACCTCTGTTCACTGGGCCTTCATGTATCTCCACTGACCCCCACCTTAGTCACCCACACCAGCCCCCTAAGATCCCCATGTGCTTCAGTTTGTGGGGCCAGCTGGAAGCCTCTGTCCCCCGACAGCCTTTTTCCGGGCTCTGGGGCAGCCTCAGGGGCCTGGGAGACTGTGTGAGGGAGGGGACCCATCGGGCACTGGGAGGTGTGGAGAGGGCAGTAGTGTGGTCCTCGCCCCAGAGAGCTGACAGTGCAGGGCAGAAAAGGGGCCCAGGTACCCCCAAGGGGCAGGAACCTGGCAGTGTCTCCAGCGAGCCCAGATGCAGGGGGAGCCCCAGAGGTTACCGAGCCAGAGAGTGAGGGCTTAAGACCCTGATTCCAGCCCTGCTGGAGCAGAGATGCAGGGATGGGGCAAAGCGGGGCCGGAGCAGCAGAGAGGGACCGCAAGAGGCGAGGTCACTGGGCCTGGCCATGTCCTCGGGGTCCCCAGAGCTCTTCGTTTGCTCCTGCCAGGCTCTAGCCAGTCCTGCACCCGTTCTTGAACTGCAGGCCAGGCTTGTAGACCTGCCCCCTTGCTCTGGCTGCAGTCAGGGGCCAGGGCCAACGGGGCAAGGAGAGTGCCCGGCTGCCAGCAAGTCAAGCCTATTTGTCCTTCCCCGTTGATCAC